GCCCGCTGACGTGCCGTTCTTGGTCATCCCGAGGGAGCCCGACACCTGACTTGACTTCCCCTGCGAGGAATCCACCTTTCTAGTAGGCAGTTGTGGGGAGGAGGAGGAGGAAGCCAGTTTTGCCACACTGAAAGATCGCTGGGTTTCCTGCTCTACCTGGGACGCACAAGATGTGAGTGACGGCGGATGACTTGAGGACGTCTCCTCTGACTGGTGACAGAACCTGATCTCACTCTTCTCCTGACAGTTGCTCTGGGCCAAGAACCCTCTTACTCTGTCACTTTCAGCTAGCTTGTCACCACATGCATTCTTGGGCATTCTTTCAGAAGAAATTTCAACTATTTTCAGCTGGTTTGTTCTTTCTAGGGGATCACCAGTAATTATTCTGCCTCCTTTGTCATCAGTCACCCCCGATCGGGCTACTTCTGGTGCCGAATCCATTCGGCTGGCCGTGCGCCGCTCCCTCTGCCCAGGAGGTGGGGCCTCCTGTCCGTTGGTGGCTGTGGATGCGCTGTTCCCTGAGGCCACAGGGGGAGCCCTGGTCTCTGGCCCACACTTAGGAGATCTGGGGGCCGCTGGGCAGCCTCTGTTGGGTTCTGAGTGCAAAGCCACGTAGGATCTACCGCATGCACCCTGCTCAGGGAGAGTCCTGGGGGAGGCGTGGGGTGAAATGAACGCTGTGATGCTCGTTTCCGAAACTGACGGCTTCAGTGACCCCGGGGCAGCAGGTGGCCTGCTCTCCAGCACGCACTGGGGGGACCTGGGGGTGGCCGTGGCATTTTTGTCAAGCTCCTCGTGGTCTATGTGGAACTGGTTAGATGCTCCCTTCAAAAGCATTTTGTGGGAGGTCTGGGGTGAAATGAGGGGTTTCCTGGGGTCTGTCCCACCAGCCTTGGCAACGTGAGCTGCAGGGGCCTCGGAACTGGCTTTGCTTTTGCTTTTGATGCTGAGTCTCTTCAGCTTAGGACCAGATTTGGGTTTCTGACAGTTACTTAAGAGTGTTTCCACTGAACTTTTTTTAGGTGAGTCTTTATTTTCCAGATTCACTTTCAGCTGGGGGGAGCTATTAGGCACAGCAATCCCCTTTCTGGAATTTTGGCTGGAACTCAACACCTGACTTTTGGAGTCAGGGCTTCTGCTGGGCGCCATGGGTTGCTCCTTTTCAGTTTTGCCCTGTGAATGTGTCCCTTGGTTATTTTTATTTATTTCCTTAAACCAGGCCATGATGGGCCTCCTGGAAACCATTTTTGGTTTCTGTAGCAACTCATCCAGCTCGTGACTTTCGGAGATATGTAGATTTGTTAAAACAGACTCTCCATTCTTAGGGACATGCACGCTACAGGGGGACTGATTTTCAGTTGCACTGACATTTGTCTCTTGTTTTTTATTTGGGGTCTCGACACCCAGCAAGTCATGTTTTAAACCATCTACCGTGTTCAGACTGCCGAGAGCGACCGGAGGGTTGTGGAAATGCGTGGCGGCTTCAGGAGGCTGCCTGTTCCCCACAGATGAGCTAGTACTGGTGGCCTCCATGGTTTCTTCTTCACACGAGGGTCTGGGGTTCTGTAAAATCCTTACATCTGCATGAAGTTCATGCTCCTGAGAGCTTATATCCGAGAGAGGAAATGGCTGGGAAGAGTTTGGAATTGAAGGGCATGAGTTTCCTGGCACAAAGGATGCTCTCTCGCGTGGATTTCCCACCACTTGACTCAGAGCACTGTGCTTTAAGGGCAGAACTTTGGCCAACACAGGGCAGGGTGCGGCCTGGGCAGGTGCGTGAGCGGTAGTTGAAGGTGGATTGGGGGAACCATTTGTAGAACAAATTTCAATTTGCTCCTCCTCAGACTCTGTAGTGTCTTCCCTGTGAGAAGATCTGCGGGAATGAGGGGGTGACCAGTTGTTCCTGGTGGAAGCTCGTGGGGCTTCGGCGAGCGATTCAGGGTCAGAAGATGAGTCCTCGGCATCACCATACATGGATGAGAGAGATGGCTCCGTGCTGTCACCCAGGCCCGACAGGGACATGCTGTCTTCGTGAAAACTGCTAAAATTTCTAGAGTAGTTGCTCAAAAAGTTTTTGTTCACAGTAAAATGTTTGTCAGGATTAATGGAATCCAAAACTGAAGGCTGGGAGGCCCACTGTGGGAGAGGGGGCTGGCCAGCAGCCCAGGCCCTCCTTAGGGTGGGGGTCTGGTTCCCCACGACTGGCTCAGCATGGTGGGAACTTCCACTTCCAGTGCCTGCTGGAGGTTGACCCTGAGAACGTCCCACTTGACTCAACCGGTCCCCTTTCTGAGGAGACTGAAGTCTTGGTTCAGAAGCATCCAGCTCCTTGATGAGTGTGTCGATGTCAGTCACAGGACTGCCCCCGCTTTCCCTGGGGCAGCAAAGCCCGGAGACACCCCCACACGCCCCTGCAGCCCGGTCAGCGGGTGACGGCAGGGAGGGGCTGGCCTGCGGGGCCCTCTCGGACACAGAATCTGTTCCCTTGGGCAGGGAAGAGCCTGGGGAGTTTGCAGGCACGAGGACGCCTGTTGCTTGCAGAGCCTTGCCGTGGTGACCGGGACTTCTCTGTCTCTCCTCCTGGGACATGAGGTCTGGGGACAGGACGCCACTAGCTGCAGACGTTGCCTCTGCCTCAGGTCCTGCGCCCCTGTGGGCAGCTGCCTTCCTGGGCAAGTTGGCTTCTGGGGCTGCCGGAAGGTTGCTGAAGTCACGACGAGCCGCTGCCATCTTCCCTGGGGAGGCGCTGCTCTCCTGGGCGAGACTCACGTGACATCTGTCCTCAGACTCAGGCACCCCGGGTGACACTGGCTCTCCACGGTCCTCAGGCCGCCTTGCTGGCCCCGTGTCCATGGAGGTCTTGCTGGGCTCAGGGTGAGCTGCCCCCTTCTGCTCTGGGGTAGGGATGAGGTCTGGGGGGCTATCCTGTCCTGTGTGGAGATAAGGGGGGAAGCAGGGAGAGAGAGGGGAAAATGTGAGGAAAACTCTCAATTGAAAAAAAAGGAGGAAAATGAAACGCTCTCAAATTTTTGGTCTTTTTTCAGAAAGACATCCCACAGCCTAAATGTAGGCCTCCTTGTCGCTCTGTTTTTGCCTCTGAAATTACAGAGCGCTCACATCTAACAAATACCACTCTGCTCCAGACGTTCCGAAATAACTCAGACTGGCTGGCAGAATAACCCTTTGTTTCTGCCTTTTCTCTCTTTTTGGTTATTTTTAAGGATGGGGGCCCCAGAAGCCCTTCCCCTGGGTTTCTTTACACCGTCTGCTCTGATGGCAATGGCCTCAGGGGTCAGGCTGTTCCGTTTGATCCCTCGGCTTTGTGTTCATCTGCAGAGGCTTCGGGTCTCTGGTTTAGCTCTAGGTCATGGGTTTGGCCTTATGGTGGGAGTTGTGTGCTGTAGAGTCTAAAACAGTCAAGTGACGACCTCTGGGGACTTACTGCTCAGCGCAGGACAGGAGGGAGGAGGCTAATTTGGGAAGAAACACAGGACACCACAGAAGGAGGCAAGTCCGCACTGTACCTTGGTTGTGTCTTGACCGCGTTGAAAGGATTGGGAGAGCTGGAAGGCCACATAATCTGGGAAGCTCTGACAGAAGGGGTCGGGGGCGGGGTGGGAGTTCTGCGGGGAGAGTCGGGCCACACAGTGATCGGGAGGAAGGCGAAGAAGAAAATGGAATGAAAGCAGAGAAGAGAGTGCATGAAACCTCAGAGGCGCAGGGAAAGGCAATGCGTGCCGGCGACAGTGGGAAATGAAGTCCTTTCGTGAGACGGGCTCTGGAGGGGCCTCCTCATGAGGCCCCCACACACTCGGGCTAATCTGTTCACCTCTGGCACATGGCATCTTATAATCGGGAGAAAGGACATAATAAGAACATTAGATTTGCTATTTTCTTGGGAACTATGGGTTGCTGGGAAACAGTCACAATCAAAGCACCTGCTTTGAGAAGATGGTCTCCCCAAACGTTATATTCACTCCACATCTCCCACACAAATCATTTTTTTAATTTTTTAATTAATGTTTTAATTTTTTACTTAAAAATTAAAAAAAAATTTAAATACTTTTGAGAGAGAGAGAGAGGAGAGAGAGACAGAGCGTGAACAGGGGAGGGGCAGAGAGAGAGGGAGACACAGAATCTGAAGCAGGCTCCAGGCTCTGAGCTGTCAGCACAGAGCCCAGTGTGGGACTCGAACCCACGAACCGGGAGATTATGACCGGAGCCAAAGTTGGGCAGCTAATTGACTGAGCCACGCAGGCGCCCCTTCCACACAAATCATCTTAATTGCATATTCCTTTTCCCTCCTGAAGTTCCTATGTCAACAATTAAGAACTAGTTATTAGGACTTAGTGCTGTGCTAAGAGTTTTTCATGCACTTAATTTTCCTCCCAAGACTGTGAGGTAGGTCCTGTCACCATCTACTTGGGAACAGGAGGGAACTGAGGCACAGAGCGGTTAAGCAATGGATCCAGGGCCAGAGTTTATAGCCAGGGTCACCCGGGAAGGTGGCTCCACACCCCACCCTGTTATCTATAAACCCCGACTGCATGGCCTCTGTGCAGACAGCACTTGGCAACAGCAAGGTCGGCCTATCAAGACATGCGTGGAGAGCATACACAACCTCCCCAGACCCCGTGGAAGGGGAGGGATGTGCCAAGAATTCGAATCCACAGGCTCATGTCCTTCTCTGCTCTGCCTTTTTGAACTCCCTTCAGAATGACTTTCCTGCTTCTGCTGGTACCAACTCGGGGAAAAGTCACAATGAGACAAAAGGAAGGGATTTAACAGTCGTTCTTCAGTTTCAGATGCATTTACTGAACAAACCTTAAGTTTTTGTTAGCAATTTGACTTTATTGCAAAGCGTGTAACTTAAAAGTGTTTTGGGGGAGATTAAATGACATAGAGGCAGTCCTTGATGTCACGTTTCAAAGTAATCCTTCACTTGTAAACCTCCCCAAATGTCCAATAATGGGCAGAATGTTGCCTCAGTTATGGCACAAAATGGGGAGGGAGGCCCAGCAGCCTTACAAACGATGTTGCAGGCACAGGAGGACGCAGAAGACATCGGTGCAGTGTCCGAGCTAGAGCGGGGCCACAGGTGTGTTTAGGACGGCCCGCCAGGGCCAGCGTCAGCCGTGCAGGCCAGGAGTGTCTTGTGACCTCAGCACACGGCTCAAATATTACATTCTGTGGATGTGTGAGGGAAAAGATAGTTCTCGGTGCATCTGATCTCATGTAAGCAGAGTGCTGAGATTCTGAAGGGCAGGAACCCCTCTGTGTCATCTCATGACTTATTCACTAAGGTTCACATCACAAAATAGGTAAAGAGTGTCAACTGACTGAAAATGGATGCACTTGATGTGGAACTAAAACTAGGAGTTTAGGCACAATGATGTAGTAAAGTTGTTAAATGCAGGAGTTTTTAAATATCATTCACCTGTGTAAAAGCCGCCCCCGGCTGCCCCCCCCCCCCGCCCGCCCCGCTTCCCCAAATTCTCCACGTGTAACATTTGTATAAGGGTAACTTCTGCCTTCCCATCTTGAAGCTTAACCAGCACCAAAATAACCTTACCTGTCCTTGGTCGCTCTGGTGCAGCTTCCGGCAGGTTCTCTGTGCGGTGGCCAGCATCTGGGTGACATGGGGCACTGGCTGGCCCCCAGTTGGAAGGGACACGTCCATCCTCGACGGTTAGCTTCCCCAGAGATTCCTGGCACAATGACAACCACAAGTCACTGTTGTCAGTTTTCAGGTTTTCTGCACCCTAAGACCTCACACACAGAGAAGAGCTGGTTTGGGGAATTTCAGAGAACCCCGGATGAGGAGCCACGAGATCCAGATTCTGGGTGTCAGATCCACTAGAAATTATATGGACTTGTCATTCTTCCTAAGCCTCAGTTTTCCTAACTTTGGAATGTGGGTGATCAGGGAACTGCAGATCAGAATCACACTGAGATGTCACCCCACACCCATGAGGGTGGCTATAATCAAAAGCAGAAATAACAGGTGTTGGCGAGAATGTGGAGAAACCGGAACCTTGTGCACTGTTGGCGGGAATGTGAAATGGTTGAGCCACTATGGAAAAGGCTACGGAGGTTTCTCAAAAAAATAAACACAGAAATACCATACGATCCACATATCCGACTTCTGGGTATACACCCAGAAGAACTGAAAGCAGGGTCTCTAAGAGGTATGTGTATTGCCATGTTTATAGCAGCACTATTCACAATAGCTAAAATGTGAAAGCAGTTCAAGTGTCCGTTGATAGATCACTGGATAATCAAAATGGGGGATATACCGAAAATGGGATATTACTCCGTCTTAGAAAGGAGATTCTGATCCAGGCTGCAACAGGGATGAACCTTGAGGACATTATGTGAAGTGAAATAATCCAGTCACAAAAAGACAAAAGTGTATGATTCCACTTTTATAAGGTATTGAGAGTAGTAGAAATCAGAGAGACAGAAGACAGAGTGGTGGTTTCTGGGGGCTGGTGGGAGAGTTATTATATAACAGGTAGAGTTTCTGTTTCACAAGATGAAAAGAGTTCAGGAGATGGTGGTGATGAATGCACAACATTATTAACAAATTAGAACTGTACATTTTCACATAAGGTGGATTTTACCACAGGAGAAAAAAATGGGGAAAAAATTGGGGATAAGACTTGCCCTGTCTAACTCACAGAGATTTAAATAAAAGATGAGTAAATGAGTAAAAAAAAAAAAAACAAAACATACAGCCCACAAAAGGCTATACAGACGTAGGTATTATTGTCTGTGTACAGTATGGTAATATCCACGACTGTAAGGTCAGCATGTCAGTTTGGTACTTAGGGCCAGGACTCATCTGGACAAATGAAACGGACATTTAATCTTTCAAAATTTCACTTAGCCAAGTGTCAATTACTTCATCTTCCTTTCTTCTATCTAAAACCTACTGTAAAAAAAAAAGAAAAAAATTGCAAAACCAACCCGCCAGGAAGTTAAATCAGATTTGAAATTCACTCTCAGAGTTAAGGAGTCTTCACAAAGTGGCCCAAAGGTGGCAGCAGAGGAGAGAGGTGAAATGGATACAGCGTCTTTCAGCGGCTCTTGTATAAAAATCATTTAGTATCTGCTGAGGGAAATCTGCACAGGGTTTGAGTCAGTTATTTCCCTTTAGCAGTAAGGCATAAACGTAATAGAAAACAGCAAAAGAGGTTTGGAATTAGTAAGGCATAAATGTAATACAAAACAATGAAAGAGGTTTGGCATTAGAGGTGTGACTGAACAGCACTGTGAATGCACCAAATGCCACTGAACTGTATTCTACAGTGTTTCATTTTATGTTATGTGACATTCGTCTCATCTTGAAAAGTATTAAGTAAAAACAGCAGAAGACAACTTACCGAAGTTTTTTTTCTTTTTAAGCTTCCAATATTTGAGGGTAAATACTTAATGACAATGCATTTTTTTAAAAGTTTATTTATTTATTGCTTCTCGGCCTTTTGGCTAAGATCAAGTGTAAATTTTGTTTATTTTGAGAGAGAGAGAGAGAGAGAGAGAGAGAGAGAGAGAGAGTGTTCATGTGACCAAGCAGGCAAGGGGCAGAGAGAAAGGGAGAGAGACTCCCAAGCAGGCTCCGTGCTGTAAGTGCACAGCCTGAGGTGGGACTCGATTCCACGAACCACGAGATCAAGACCTGAGCTGAAATCAAGACTTGGGTGCTTAACTGACTGAGCCACCCAGGTGCCCCATAAAATGGCAATGCATTCTATTTTCTTTCTGATGTATAGATGAAATCATATTTTTGAAATAAATTTTTTTAAGAGAAGAGTTAAACTTTTGTGCAAAAGTTTTAAATGCCTCTCAAAATTCTTATTGGGAATACTCATTCACAATGACAAAAGCTCTTATTTTATAAACAATTATGAACAAAACCCCTGATTTATATAGTTATCCAAAACTGGCTGATACTTTTTAAAAGAAGGGGTTAACCCATCAGCCGAACATTGCATTTTAAAACACATATGCTAGTTGGAAGTAGTAACATATTTTCGGAGGATGAAAAAAGATGTGTTTCTACTTTTTCTATATGGTTAACAAAAATCCCTTCTGCCTAATATAGTTTTTATGACTTCATATTTTCTGGGTCTGTTTACACATATGTTTGTATAAACCACTTGAACATGTATCTTTATAGATGCGGCCTTACAATCAGCTCAGAGAGAAACTATTTATGTTGAGGTCGTAAACATTTGTTTCTCTTACTCCTCCTTGCTTACGTGGAGGTATACTGACTAAAATCAAGCCATGTGAGAGGTGCCTGGGTGGCTCAGTTGTTTGAGCATCTGACTGTGGCTCAGGTCATGATCTTACGGTTTGTGGGTTTGAGCCCTGCCTTGGGCTCTGACACTCGGAGCCTGGAGCCTGCTTCAGATTCTGTGTCTCCCTCTCTCTCCGCCCTCCCCTGCCTGCACTCTGTGTCTCTGTCTCTCAAAAATAAACAAACATTAAAAAAATTTTTTTGAAAATCAAGCAATTTGACAATCTGGACCATTCTAACACATGTGTAACCAAGTTGTAACGTAAATAATATTGACTTGCATTTAAGTGGTGCATTATAAGTTTTCTTTTTTTTTTTTTTTAAGATTTTCTTTTTCAGTCTTCTTTACCGTCAACATGGGGCTGGAACTCACAACCCCAAGATGGAGAGTCAGACTGAGCCTTCCAGGCGCCCAGGTGCATGTTAAGTTTCTAAGTGAATGCCTGCCCAATTTTTCACGTGATTCTCACAATAAGGGTACGAATAGTTTTGATTATTACACAGTTGCTGTAAAAAGTCTGAAAAAATAAGGATCGCGCAGAACCTCACCAGCTGGAGAGAATCACTGTTAGCCTGTGTGATGGTCCCTCTGGCTGTGAGAGATAATCAGGGCAGAATCTCTCCTCAGAATCAGGGCACGATCTCTCCTCAGTGGTCCAGACAACTGTGTCTCACAAAGATTCAACAACTTGCCTCAATGGTCACCCAACTAGCCAGGGGACCAGACCCAGTGTTCTTCTTCACCAGCCTAGTGCCGCCCTTCCCTCATCAACCATGTGTACAGGTCCCGTGTACAGGTAAGAGAGGGATTTCATCTTTTGGCAGAATGATCTATGACTCAATACCTGGGCATGTTCCCCCCACCAGCTGCTACAGTCTGTTTCTCCAACCATTCCCCCTCTTCCAGGCAGGATATCCTCTGCTTCCTAACACACTCCGTATTCACTCACACAAAAGTCACTGAGATCCCAAGTAACTGAAAGGAAACCAGTTACCTTCTCCACGGTTCCATCGGGATGAAAATCAGTCCCGGTCTCTCTGCCAGAAGTGGCCTGGATACATGGGTCATCAGCTCCATCAGCTAGGTTTTCAGTCTCGGAGTTGCTGGGCCTGGTGTCAGCCTCGGGCCTCTTGTGGTGTGGGCTGACCCTGGCCACTGGTTTGTGCCTGGACCCCAGGTTGTCATTCTTCTGCTGGGGGGACCTGGAGACATCTGTGCGCATCAGATTCTGGGGGCCTGTATCGGCTTTGTATTCCAATTTGGGGGAACTCTTAGATCCTGATAGTTCCTTCTTTCCTGAGCGGCCAGGGCCACCCTTGGGGGCCGCTACCGAGGCCAGCAGGTTGGCTGAATGGGAAGGAGTGTCCCCCGTGCCCTCTGGCACACTCTCCTCTAAGTCCAGTGAGCTGCCCAGGAGAGGCACTGAGGAGGCCTTACTGACCAGTGTTTTCTGGGGATGTTCCTCCTGGTTGTTGATACTCATGACCTTGGAAGAGGTCATCAAGACCTGCCTACAGTCGTCCTCTGGCAGAGACCTGCTGGGACCAGAGAGGGTCCCTGGGAGGGAAACGCAATCCCCTTCGCCATCAAACTCTTCTTCGTCACTGGCATCGTCTGTGTCATAGCAGCCAACCCTCCTCTGGCGGACGAGAGGGTTTCGGAGCACCTGCGGGCTCCCAGGGAGACTGGCTTGTCTGGCAACCGTCACCTGCTTGTGGAAGAGCCCCGAGGCCCGCTGGCTTCCTAGAGACACGAGGCTGTTGGCCCTGGCTTTTCCTGGTTCCTTGTGAGCTGGTGGGGAGGGGGAAAGAAATCATCAAATGAGACAGGGTTTCCCATCTGGCCTGGTTTTACAACTCAACCCCCCTCATTATACGTGAGCACCCCCCCATTCACAACTGCCACCTATTTGTCCTCTGGCCACTGAAGACCAGGCTTAGATGACAGGGCTTCTTGGGATTTGCACAGAGTGGACAACCAGAGTCCCTCTCTCCTTTTCCCACTGGCCTCTTTTCTTGTTTAAAATTTTTTTTCTTTTTTTTACTTCAATCTCTGGATTTGGTTTGCACATGTATGCTGCCTAGAGACAGAAATGTTTAATTCATCAACACCCATGATGCCTGATACATGGCTGGGGTTCGCACTAGATGCTGCTGCTGGGAGCTCCTTTTTGGGAGGACGCCCAGAGACCAGCAAGCCCTACACTCCAGGACCTTATCCCGTGAGGCCCCCCCTTCATCACAGGAGGCCCTTCCTCAGGGGCAAGGAGTGGGGGCTGGGTACGGGGGGCACATAAGCTCCTAGAACATGGTACAGGGAGCCTGATATTATATTCTCTGTAACCAACCAGGGATAGGGGAAAACTTGTTTGCTCAGCAAACTCTTTGCATCTTGCTAAATGAAAGAAAAATTACACGTGCTTCCACCTTGAAATGTTTCCATCAGAGACTAGAGTAAGTGCATCAGCTGCTTCAAATGAAAGCCAGAGTGGTCAAGTCTGCCTGTCCTAAGACAGAGATGTTCTTGTTCATACATTAGAAATTAAAAAAAAAAAGTGCAGGGGTGCTTGGGTGGCTCAGTTGGTTGAGCGTCTGACTTTGGCTAAGGTCATAATCTTGCGGTTTGGGAGTTGAGCCCCATGTCGGGCTCTGTGTGAACAGCTCAGAGCCTGGAGCCTACTTCAGATTCTGGGTCTCCCTCTCTCTCTGTCCCTCCCCCACTCATGCTCACTCTCACTCTCTCTCAAAAATGAATAAACATTAAAAAAATATATATTTTTTGGTAATTTTTTTAGTGTTTATTTGTCCTGTGAAACTCGCGGTCCATGAGTTCGAGCCCCGCCTTGGGCTCTGTGCTGACAGCTCAGAGCCTGGAGCCTGCTTCAGATTCTGTGTCTCCCTCTGTCTGGCCCTCCCCCATTCATGCTCTGTCTCTCTTTGTCTCAAAAATAAATAAACATTAAAAAAAAAAAAAAAAAGCAAACCACACCAGCAGAAGCCTGAGAAATCAGTATGGTTCACATGAGATTACCTCATATTGTAGTGAGAGCGTAATCAATGAGATTTAAAAACACCTGTTGATAACATCTCTCTTACGGGTTCAGAATCTTTCACTCGCTGCCTTCTAAAAAGAATGAAGTTAGGGCCCAGTGAGGGAAGGGACCTGGATCTTGGCTAGGGTTCCCCTAAAACATAAAGCCATCAGGTTGCTAACCTGATTTCATGCCATAAATTTCAAGACTAAGTTATGTAAATAGCATCTAAATGCTGGTTTAGCCACCTCCAACACCCTGGGTGCAGAACGGGTGTCCAGATCCTTTACCGCAGACCTGAGGGGCCCGTCATTAAATGGTGGGCTGCATTTTCTAAGAATAAACTCTGAATTTAGTCAGGGAACAAAGATGGCTTCTACTCAACCAGAGGCTTGGGTTCCAGTTCTCCGTTCACATTAAAGCATCATAATACGTAAACCCATGTGGCCCGAGTCAGAAAACAGTCATTGTTTACTGGAGGTGCTGGGTGGCAGGCCACCGTCTTCAGAGATGCTGCAGCCACTTCCTGGGTGATCCTCGTCCTCAGAGCCGGCCACCATGAAGTCTGACAGGGGGCCTGGGACACCGGGGGCAAAGTACTGGGCGGGTTCGGGGTCAGAAATCAGGGGGTCCTGTTGGAGAAGACAGTGGTGGATGATGAGCAAGCACACCAGAAGCTGATCAGCTGAAATAGTAATTACTTCCTGTCTTTCCAAGAACACTTTGTTTGAATCCATGGTCCTGTGAAACAGTGGTGACAATAAACACCCAGTTCCATTTACTTCAGGATGGCTAAATTAAACAATTAAGGAAAAAGCCAACAGTTGCTGCCAGACCATGTTTTTAAAAGATTTTTTTTTTTTTTTTTTTTTTTTTTGCCAAATGCTTAGCAATGACCAGAAAAGCCACAGCAGCACTGTATCAACCACCCCAGGAAAAACACTGGGGGAGAGAGAGAGGAAAATAGAAATAAATTCCCAGCCGCTGGTTCAACCTAGTGATGGAACAAGGAAGAGGGGAGTTTGAATCCTGGGCTCTGATCCACTGGGATTGAGGGGCCGCCAGCTGAGAAAGATTCCAGTCTCCTTAAAGTCACAGGTTCCCCCCAAACCAACTGGGACCCTTTACTGTGGAGCAGGTTGTAAACTATCCTTCAAACTGCAGCTCACGGGGCTCAGGTCATGATCTCACGGTTTGTGAGTTTGAGCCCCGCATCAGGCTCTCTACTGACAGCTAGGAGCCTGGAGTCTGCTTCAGATTTTGTGTCTCCTTCACTCTTTCTGCCCCTCCCCAACACATACGCGTGCTCTCTCTTTCAAAAATAAACATTAAAAAAAATTAAAAAGAAAAACTGCAGCTCACTTCTTTTATTTTGTTGCTCTATTCTTTTCCTAGATGAATAGTTAATGAAAGAAACACACATTTTTATATTTGTTCTCAAATTAGCATTGTTGCAGTTGTCTGTGTAGAGTGGCCAAAATGACTCATGGACAGAAATATGAGCTGGGCCCTCAGGTTTGGCTTCTGGGCTCCAGGAATCAGTTCGTGGGCCATCTGAGCGAGGCAGCAGTGTGCCTTGACTCACCTTTTTTGCAAGAGAGGGACTCTTCAAGGGGGTACCTGTTGGAGGGAAAATTCACCATAAAGTTAAAAGAGCGCAGCTCGAATTCTTACAACTAGGCTCTCATTCTCAACTAGAAAAGAAGGAGCCAAACATATTAACTCTTCTCTGCTTGACTGACACTGATGGGCTGTGTGCATAGGTGGTAGACATGCATGCACTTGACCCGATCCCCACCCCACCCCACCTCCCAAGGTTCTGCTCATGCTTCAAGCCCTAACTTGGATGCTACCACCTCCATGGGATCACCCAGTTGGAAGTAACTTCTTCTGAATCTCGAGAGTATTTTATATTACCCATAAACCAATTTCCATACACACAGTATAATTTAATTATAAGTGGATGCCTCTCATATTCCTTCCTCAGCTATTCATCTACAGGGCTGAGATCTTCAGTGATCTGACTCCACAATGCTCAGCATTGCACCTGGGTCTAGGAAGTATTCAGTGATATCTGCTGAACGGATCGAAGGATCAACGAACAAAGAAGTCCCACTCAAGAAACCCATGAAGAAACTGGGGAGAGGGTTGAATAACCTATTTTGGTTTTTAGTAGTAGGATGTGAAGATTCGGCATTGAAACTTTAAATTCTATGCCATGAGCAAAAAGATCTTGGGCATGAGGTCCATAGCTTAATAAAATCTTTCAAAATAAATGATCGAATGGGTATGCCAGGCTTAGGAGAGGACAGCTGGCAGGCAGGTCAGGAGAAGGAGCTGGCCAAATAAAGAGCCCATTATGGTTGTGCCCACTTTAAATATATTAATTATGGATGGAAATAATCAGGGTATTACATGGCTGCCAAAAAATCTTAAGTCTTCCTTTTCCTCTGACAACCAGTAACTCATGTCTCAGTTCCTTTTTCTCCTGACATCAATCTTAGCATCAGTAATATCTTGAGTTGAGACATGTTTGCAGTCCCTTTGGATTTCTATTCTACCGGAAACATTACTTTCAAAACTTGATGGAATGTTTCACATTTAAAATTCATATGAAATTCTTACTATTTCAGTCCTTCTCTGCCTTAAGTTTCCCACTTAAAGAAGTGGAAAATCATGATTTTGGGAGCCTCTATTACCCTTAAGTTGAAACTTAAAAAATACCGACTTATTATTGAAATAGAGCTGCCGTACTTTGTGGAAATTTTTAATTCATGTAAAGAAACCCCAGGTTTTGGAATGGAGACCACTCTGCATCTATCAAACAACTGATATTTTGGGATTACTTCATTTTTACCTAAAACATTTCATATGAATTATACATAAAACACACGAAATGCCGCTAACTCATTTTTGCAAATGATCTTGTAGTACAAGAAGCATGCATAATTAGAACTTTAATAAAGCACATTAAATAACTGCAGAAATCAAAAGTAGACACTAAGAAAAAGCACAGAATCTCTTGGACAACTACTTCTGCCAAACCTGGTAATTACAAAGAATCCAACCAATAACATTGCATTGGGGAGTGTCCCATGGGGAAGGTTAATTGAGAGACTCTTCTGAGTGTTGAATGAAAATGTGCAAATACAGTACCTAAGCCAGGAGAGGAATTGGCCTCTTTGCTCTCCTGATAAGTGCTGCGTGCTATCACTGCATCCATTTCCTGCTCGGAAACCTGGTTTTCAGCAGAAAGCACAAATTAGCTGGTTTTATTTATTTTACCCCCAAAAAAGTAGCTAGGACCAGAGTCAGAGGCTGAGTGGAAATAAAGAGGAAAACCACAGGACCAAAGATTATGACCATCCTCTGAAGCAATAGCTCAGGGCATATAAGAAATATTGCCAGGTTAACATATTGCTTCAAACAATGTATTCAAAATCAGACCCTCAGTTGGTTTTCAAATTCATTAAAGCTTTCAGGTGCTACATGGCTGATACCTGCCTCTCTCTAGAACACTCACTTCTAATTCTTTTTTCCTAGATTTTACTCAAACAATTTCAAACCTACATAAAACTCGTAAAAGTAACACAAGAGTAGTAAATTCTTCATTGTTGTTTTTTAAAACATTCTCCCACATTTACACTCATGCTCTTTCTTTATACAGATACACACACCATTTAACATTTTAATTTGGGAGTCAGTTGCAGACGTTAAGAGGTTAGTTACAAACCTCCTAAAAACAAGAACATTCTCTTTAATAACCCCAGTACTATTGTCAATTCTAGGAAATTTAACATTGACACAAATGACTGTCTAATGCACATTTTATATTCCAATTCAGCCAACTGTACTAACACCGTCCTTCAGAAATGCTACTCAAAATGTGTCAGGAGACAGAAGTAGTTCACAGGAAGTTTGATGCCAGCTTGTGAGGAGATAGGATTTTCCTCTAGAATGCTTATCAACACTCAGCTTCTTTCCCAACAGTGTCTTCCTGGGGGAAAAATATCCACTGAACTGAGTGGTGGCCCTAGTGATGTAACTGATTTGCATTCTGGTGCAAGCTCCTTATCTTGTTGTGGATCTTTAGCGGATTGTCACCAACTAACTCCTTCGCATAGTAATGCTTTACAGAAATTTCATTTTTGGCAATCCAGAATTCAATTTAGGGTCAAGTCTTTTTTAGACTCCTTTAATCCAAAACACTACTGAGCTTTTGTCTGTCACAATACTGATATTCTGGAAGAAACCTAGGCCAATCAAACCCTCAATTAGGATCTAATAGTTTTTTCATGCTGAGATTTAGATTATGTTTTTTTTTTTTTTTTTTTTGGCAGAAAAACTACAACAACTGTTTCCTTTTCAGTGCATCAGAGAGGCACTCAGGGTCAGCATTTCATGTTTCATGACTGATGGTAACTTTGACCACTTGATTAGGATGGACTTCACCACATTTCTTTACTAGATTTTTTTTTTTTTTTTGGTCATCAATGAGTAATCTGGGAGGAAACAGCTTCAGACAACATCAATATCCTGCTCCCCAGTATATTTTTACTCAATGGTTTTAGCATCATTGATTATTCTTATTTGAATAAATTTTTATGATGAAGTTTTCAAAATAGTCATTTTATAACTCTTCTTTTCTCTCTATATTTATTGGGATCATGGTAGATTTATGCATTTTTCCCCCATTAGTTGTTATCCCTGTCATTATTCAATATGGAAAAAAAGTTTAAAGCCTGATATATGCTGAACTATGAGGTATTTTAAAAGACAATTACATAACTTGTATAGAGTTTCTTTTTTAAAGGTAAGAATACTGTAAACTTAGAATGGTAATTTTATGTACTAAAATAACATTTAGCATAAGTAATTTTTGGATAAGCATAGCAATTTTTCTTAGTAAATAAAGTTATGCAAGATTCAGCATTATGTTTTAATCTAACAGATAAATCATAATCACATCATGGCTTTTATGTAATACTTTCTAGCAACCTTCACAGGAAATAAAAAAAATATATATACATACATGCACAAAGCATACACACTAAAACACAAACATATACTTCATAAAGCAAAAGTAATTTTGTATAAATGAGTCAGGGAAAATATAAGCTTATATGGTGGTTGCAAATTTTTCTTGCCAATTTGCAAGAATTGCAAGGTTGCCATTTTCTAATTGACATTAGACTTTCAATATTTGCAACTATTTTTCTGAGTGGGAGAAAAATGGTCAGGTTTTAAAACAAGTGAAAGATTTCCTGGATAATTCTAGTCATGCTGAGAGCCCCAGGACCAGTTAAAAATGGACCTCTATGACTTTCTTCTACTTAACATAAGCTAGAAGCTGTGACCTGAGTAAGTCCAAATCTTAGCTTGTCTAGACCTGGAGGGTTTGAATATCCCAGTTGGGCAGTCACTGCGCCAGTCATTATGAGAAACAGAAGAAAAGAAAATCCTTGTGGTATTTCTATTGGAACAACATGAAAACTAAGGAAGTACATACATTCAGTATCAAAATGTACTACTGGCATGAGATGCTGGGGTGAGCGGTATAAAAATACATTAAACATAAAATGGAATCTTGACCAAAAGAAAAATATAGTATGATGTTACAATTAAGAACACCATGTTTACCTAGGAAGAAATGTGAAATCTAGTAAAACAAATACTGAAATCTGGTTTTGCTGGATGTATCTCCCACACCATCATGATGACCATTTACTGTGGCCAGAAACATGAATCAACCTGTATTCAACAGGATCGCAGAGCACCAGTCCATCAGAATTATTATGCTTTGTGCTTAAATGCCATTCTGATGTTTGACTGTACTGGCAAATTAGGTAGATGCTTTTGGGCTGAGACGAAGCAGACCTCCCAACAAATCGTGACCTGTGCTATTTTGGAATGGATTTTGAAGTCAGACATGCCTTGAAACGAATGCCTGGAAACCACTGAGAACTTAATTTTTTATAATGTTGCTGAGGGATGTGCGAGGTCAGCTCTAGCTTATTGGACTGCTTCCTAAGTGGGAAGCAGGTGATGGAATCCCAGAGAGGACCCTAGAGGAAGGAGTCAAGACCACTCTAGCTGTGAGTTTGAGGCAAAGTGGTGTTAAAAATGACATGGGGTGCCTGGATGGCTCAGTTGGTTAAGTGTCTGCCTCTTGATTTCAGCTCAGGTCATGATCTTGTGGTTGTTGGGATCAAGCCCTGAATCAGGCTCCTTGCTGACAGCAATCTGTCCCTCCCCTGCTTGCACACTCTCTCTCTCTCAAAATAAATAAATAAACTTAAAAAAAAAAATGACCCAAAGAGAGCCATGGGGACAGCAGAGAGACAGAGGAGAACAGATTACAAGGGAAAATGTCAGGACTATAAAATGTAAAGGAGAAAAACAGGAAGTGACAAGAAGGAAAAAAATGGAAAATGGTAGAAGCAGGACTTGATTTTATTTTAATGATATTTATTCAAGAAGTTTTTATTTAAGACATATATAGACAGGAGAACACAATCTGGGAAAAAAAATAGTAGTGGAGTTGACTTTGAATCAGTCTAATGGCAATCCTTGTCCAAGCACTATGGAGAACCAGTATAACAAAAACACACCACTGAAAACACTAAAAATGATGCTATAAAATTAATACACTAAAGAAATCTCAGAAATGGGATGACCCAAAGTTCTCCACACACACGTCTTACTCTCAAGATGGCATACAAGTCCATCAAGCATAGCAGTCTGGGACCATTTAGGATATAATCAAATAATAGTACAAATGATACAGAGGAGGTGGTCATATGATAGGCACAAAAAGAACTAATATTCTTTTTTTAATGTGTATTGATTTTTGAGAGAGAGAGAGAGACAGAGTGAGAGAGGGGGAGGGGCATAGAACAGGAGAAACAGAATCCAAAGCAGGCTCCAGGTTCTGAGCTGTCAGCATGAAGCCTGACACAGGGCTCGAACCCATGAACTGTGAGATCATGACCTGAGCCAAAGTCAGATGCTTAACCGACTGAGCCACCCAGATGCCCCAAAAAAGAGCTAATGTTCTTATGGAGCATTTTGAGTTACTGAAAAGGAAAGGCTGAATTTTGTAAAATATAACCTGATATTATAGACAAGTTAATTTAAAAGGATTTTTACATCAAGTACTTGAAACAACAAAAAACGGTGCTCAAAGCCAGTAGAGTTGAAATTGCTGAGGTGTGCTCCTGTTAACCTAAAAAAATTAAAAGCAACTGCTCAAGTATAAAAGAGATACAACCAAATAACACAAAGGCCCACGATACAGGGGCTATGATTATCTGCAAATTCAACAATGTGATATCAATGCAGAAAAAATATTAGTGGACTCTTAAGCCTTAATGACAGAAGTATTCTCCTCAGGTCAAGGATGGCCTGGACAGATCATTTAATCCAATGCTCTCACATTTTCTTGATGCAGAAACCCAAAAAGGTTAAGTATCTCACTAGAGATCAAACAAACAGCTGGAAGTTACTCAGAACCCAGCACTCTTATCTTCATACCATATTTTATATTCACCAATAACACTGTCAAAATTTTCTAATGAAATTTCTAAGAGTGTGAAGATGAAGAAGTCCACATCAGTGAGTTGTTCCCATGTGTATCAGTTACTTGGCCACTGTGTGACCACAGGCTGATTCCCAAGCCCGGCTGGGTGAACTGTCTTACCAGAGTGTGCGTCATCATAGGAATATGTGTCATCACTGCTACAGGACAAATAACCAAGCCATCTTCTCATATTTAGAACAATAAGTACTTCACCTTTGGATTAGGGTGCCGGCCAATGACAAGTCGAACAGGTCCTGGGGGGCATTTGCTCAGGATGGTATGGACTTTGCTTAAAGCAGCATGGCGGACATTGACTGAGTTCACTTCCAGGATTTGATCTCCACGGCTAGGGAGGACAACATAACCAACACGCTGTGGTAACAGTTAAGTTTTTACAAGATTTCCCTCTGGGAGAGGTTTATAATATGAAATCTTTTCTGAATACTTTAAAGAAGCAAATGACATCTTTTCATCTTTGCATATGTGTGAAAAAGCAACACATTCATATAAACACATTAGATATTAAATCAGCAAAGTCCTTATGTGTATCTAGCTGCATTTTCAGTAGTAAAGTTAAATAAAATTGATAATAAGACAATAACAAGGGTTACCATTTCTTGGGCACAGAGTGTAAACCAGGCACTATACAAAGCAATTTCCATAACAATCCTTTGAACAGGTATTATTATTCCTATTGTTTAGACAAGGCCACAGACTTTAGAGAGGCCACCTTGATGTCACACACAGTTGAACTCAGGTTCAACCTGTCTACCTTTTGATCATCACAAGATAGCTCCTTGACCACCACCATTTTCTTTTTTTCCCTACCATCTTGAAATGATTATTGTAATGTAATTTGAGGGGGAAATATCTTGAAGCTCAAAGGTTACCCAAGAATTTGTAAAAACGTTTTAAATTTGAACAAATGAGAAATTGGGGACAAGATGCCCATTTTGACTTGAAATTATAGGCAGAGAACTCAGTAGGAGAGAACAAAAGACTCTTTATATGGTGTTTGAAGAATGTTCATTTGGCAGGCTCCAGACATATGGAACCATTCAAGAAAGAAACATCATCTTGGGATGTCATTAAAGGATTTTTTTTCCTTGGGTTCTAAAAGTATATTTTCTTTAATGTACTTTGGATGATTTGCTAAATTTTTTTTGTATGAAAATTCACTCTGATGATTAACTAAAAACATAACATAATCTATTAACAGGGCCCCAAAATGGCAACCTCAAGGCATGTCATTTTGACAATTCCTCAACTGCTCAAGGACTTAGAAGCTTATGGGGGGAAAAGTGATACTGTTTACACAGAGTGCTTTGTGCACTACGTGTATATTCTTGTGGCGTTTGGGTGGGCACAGATCCACTGCAGTTACTATATAATAGAACACCTAGACATCTCTTGTATAACAGAATATCCATGCTACAACTCAACTAGCTGGACTGAGAAATCAGACATGTGGTGATTTCAGACAATAAGCATCTAGACAACATCACTCAGAAAGGAATGAAACAACAGGAAAGGTCAAGAGATTATACTTAATAATAAAAGAGGCCTCCAGTTTAAGGGCATGATTTCGGACTCCTTTGTATCCAGTGATTCTGAACTGTTATGAGCAGTTCCTGGCATCACCTATGAATTTTACATAAATGAATACAAAAGTGAAAGAAAATATTTAGATGATCATAGGTATCTATGTAGAGTTGTATTTTGTCAAGTTTCTGAAACTGAGCTTCTGCGTCCAAACAGATCAAAATAGGGAAGCCAAGATCTATAGTTCTCTACTGCTACATTAGCTTTTCATCTTTGGAAATTAATTATAATCTTGGCTATACTATCACTGCAAATAATACAAAAGTTTAGAATCTCACAAAAGAATGTAATAGGGCAGATATCTTACACGTATATTCATTCCTAAATTCACGAACATCCCAGAAGCCTATATTATCAGGTTTACAACAAACCTCAGATTGCTCTCCATCTTGGCCACTGATCCTGGGGCAAGGCTGTGAATGTAGATACCTGGAGGGCTGTTTTCTAGAGCCAGGCAGCAGGCACCAATACCTAATCCAACTCTGGGCTCTGAGAGGCATCAAAGAAAACAAAGTTAAAAAAAAGTATAAGTTATATGAAGCTACATCACTGTATATTCAGACCAGCAATCATTTATTTTTGACCAGACTGAGAATGTAAATCCTGCTTTTTGCTGTTAACATTATCATACTCTGTAAATGAAATGAGTCCACGGCAGAACCAAGGGCTAACTATGGACTGAATAATTCAGCTATCTGCTCTCTGCTTAGTCTAAAGAAGCTCCTCAATTCTGTTTTTGGAAACAGGCAGAGTCAAAGTAATATATTTTTTAAAGATTTTATTTTTTAAGTAATCTCTACACCCAACATGGGGCTCGAACTTACAACCCTGAGATCAAGAGTCCCATGATCCTCCAACTGAGCCACCCAGACGTCCCAATATTTTTTATTCTAGATACATTTCTTTCACTTATCTTTTTTAGCAACTAATCTCTTGGTTGCTTCATTGCTCATATTTCTGTAGTAGGTGTAGAGGAAAAGGAAACAGATGAAAGGCTGTAAGATCTGGTGAAGACCCACAACTTACAGTTATTAGCTGTATTCTCAACTATAATCGTTTGTTCTTCAAAATTTTTTATTAGCCCTAGAATTAAGTCAGTCAGTGATTTTTTTTTTTTTTTTTGGTTTTTTTTTTTAAACATGAGTTTCTGACACACAGTGATTCATCTGGGGAGAGCTTAAAAGACTTTGTACTACTGGTAACTCTTTTTCACTTTAGCAAAATGACTAAAATCTCTACGTGTGATCCCACTGTCCATTTACAGAATACCATACGTTGTTGGCAGTAAACTGTTCCAAAGGAACAGTTCCTAGAAAAAATTAAAAAAACGAAACCTAGGAACAGATGACAAATTATTATGTGAGAGAATGTAAGGAAGTGGGGAGTAGCTGGTATCACCTTTGTTGAGTGTGACTTCCATGACAATTCTGTCCTTGGGCCCGGGGGCCTTCCGACCCAGGGATGAAGAACCGCTTTCGTCGGAGCCTACTGCTGAGCTGCCCCCACTGGTGTTGAAGTTGGGGGAGCTGGATCTGCTCATGTGTGTGGGTGTAGAGCAGGGTGTGAGGCTTGGGCTCAGTAACTTTGTGCGTACTGTTAAGACGAATAATCCACTCCGGATTTGCTGAGAAAACAAGAGAGTAAAACATTCTAAATGCTAAAACATTCAGACTACTCCTAGATTAATGGATGAAAAAAAAAAGAAAAGAAAGAAAGAAAAAAAAAAGAACCCAAACCAGAAGGAAATAAGTGAAGAGAAATCAAGAAGATAAAAGAGATAAATAAGAATGTGGTTACCTTAAAGGTATGGATGGCTTCTTGGAACGTCAAGCCCTTTATTGGTATCCCATTTACATCTAGGATTTCATCCCCTAGTGCCAAAATAGGAGAATTACATTAACATCAAACTTTGATGTACTAGAATCTAACTGCATGGTCAGTACTAGAAGAGGATACCATATGGTACCTGATTTACAATTCTATAAAAGGACTTTTATTGTTCCAGCCTACTTTCATTAGCATAGCTCTCAGGAATTTCAAAAAAATGGGACAATTAATAACAATACATATTCTTTTGCAGTAATTCTGTATCTCCATCTTTAATGAAAAACAACCAGGGGAAGCATTAAGTTCTAATTCTTTAGCCATTGCCAAGTTCGATAACAGGTGTCCTAAGTTTAGAGATCAAAATGCAATAATGAGGGGCGCCTGGGTGGCGCAGTCGGTTAAGCGTCCGACTTCAGCCAGGTCACGATCTCGCGGTCCGTGAGTTCGAGCCCCGCGTCAGGCTCTGGGCTGATGGCTCGGAGCCTGGAGCCTGTTTCCGATTCTGTGTCTCCCTCTCTCTCTGCCCCTCCCCCGTTCATGCTCTGTCTCTCTCTGTCCCAAAAATAAATAAAAAACGTTGAAAAAAAAATGCAATAATGAGTCCCAAGCCTTTCCTCATAGTGTTTGTTTAAAAAACCTAAACCTACTGGCAATATAGCATGAACATATATATAACATGTGAGAAAGACACTTCTGTATTTGCAGAAAGACAAGGTTTTCAAGCCTGCAGAATCATCATGGTGTGTGGAAAATGGTTTTAATAACAGAGACAAAAAACTTTTGAGATATTATCTAAAAATGGTAGTCCTCCCTCCAGAAATAGTCTAGATGCCTGGTCTTACTGATGCTGTTCCAGGTTCTCAGTCATTAAGACTAAGAGAGATTATTGTGGGTTAATGCCAAATTGTTCTCTCATTCATTCTCATTCTCTCTCTCTCTCCCTCTCTCTCTCTCTCTGTCTCTCAAACTATCCTGGACTCATCTTCAACCCCAAGGACGTATGGTCAGGTCATTTTTCCAGCTGTTGATAGTGTCTGCTGGGACTATAAGAGAAATTGGACATCCAGTTGACTTCTCAGTTTGTTTTGGTTTATACTCTCGTAACATGGTCTGTTTTTTTGGAATAAGAGTTCATCAAAAACACTACGAAGGGGCCACTGAGAGAAGAACAGATGAACTTCACACAGCGGTGCAGGACAAACGAAGGCCTCCCTTTACCTGTAACAAAGAGCAACAGCAGCAGAACCTCTCCTGGGCAGCTAATCCCAGGGGCACACTGTGCCTTCCATTAAAGGAATCCTGTAGATGAGGTTGAAAAGGTGGCAGTACCTCCATGCACTTGTTATGTGCTTTTCTT